GGGGGGTCCTTACTATAATTATAGTGTATTATAGTATTCAAACATTTTCGGCATCAAGGATTTACCCATAGTCTCCATGTAGTTCCTTTTTGGTTTAACCAATGATGTATTAAGGATTTTATAAGGTATCCCCCGAAAAAAGAACCTGAATGGAGACTATAGGTAGGGTGTTGAGCTTGTTCCACTCATGATCACACGAAGATGAATCAGAAGTTAAGCTCCAACACCCTCTGCTGACGCACATGTCCCTAAATAAACTGACCCCTAACCCCCTAAACCCGGAACCCCTAAACCCTAAACCTGTAGCCTCTAACCCCTATAGACCCTAAACCCTAAAGTAAAGACCCCTGCTTGAAGAAAGTGTCTGACTAATATGGGGGCCTAAATAGTTACCTATACTATACTAATTTGAGGGTTCCTTGTTATAATTAGAGTATGATGGACCCCAAAACCTTATTCTCATTATTAAGGCCCTTAAGCCCTAAACCCTAAATTTAAACCCTAAACCCTTACATTGTGTCTGTGCGCTGGAAGGCCTGGGGCTGAGAAGAGCCCCACGCAGAAGGCCGACAGCTGACGCAACGAGAAATTGGGGCGAAATTAGGGGTTTAGGGTTTAGGGTTTTAGGGTTTAGGGTTTCGAGTTTTAGGGTTTAGGGTTTAGAGTTTAGGATTTAGGGTGTAGGCTTTAGGGTTTAGGGTCGGGGTTTAGGATTTCCAGTTTAGGGCTTATAGGGTTTAGGAATAAAGTCTCTCTCAGGGGTATAGAGTTCTATGCAGGTTCTATTGGAGTTGAAATCAGGGTTCGTGGGTTGAGAGTTGAGCTAAGGGTTTAATTTTTAAGGTTTGGGGCTTTGTTGGTTCGGAGCTAATATAGGGGCCTGAAAAATTAGAATGGGGTTTTTGGGGTATATTCCACTAGAACTATAATGAGGAACCCCCAAACTAGTATCGGTAGTTATTCAGGCTCCTACAGTAAGTGGTCGTGGTTGAGGGGCGAGGATGCTCGGACCTTTCACTACCGAAGAGTGGAGGTCCTTTTCCTGCGCATCTGATGGTTGATTAGCATTGCGCTGGCCCCATGCCGTTTTGACTCAAAGTGCAGATCACTTCTAGAATCCCAAAATATCCTGCACCCTGAGCCCTAGATGCTGCGCGTCAGACTGCTCTCCGCCGCAGAGATAGGCCTGCCTCTGGAGGAGATACCGGATGTGAGGGCCCTGAAAAGACGCCTTCATGAGCTGCGCGGGTTTCCCTTGGGGTTCAGGCAACCCTAAACCCTAAACCCTAAACCCTAAACCCTAAACCCTAAACCCTAACCCCTAAACCCTAAACCCCTAAACCCCTAAACCCTAAACCCTAAACCCTAAACCCGTTCAGGCAAAGGTTCCTCTTGCGAGGCAAGGCTTTAGAAGATACCTTCAAGCTGGACTCACCGATGGACCTGGATCTCATTCTTCTGCAATTCCTGGAAGTTTCCGAAGAGCAGGTGGGTTATATACCTTAAGGAAGCCTTATAGAAGCCCTATATACCCTAAACTCCCCAGCTGTAGTTTCCTTAGAGCAGGTGGGCAGCTTGGTGGACGCCGCACACCGTGGCTCTATGTCCGACGTGGTGTCCAAGCTTCAGCTGCCGCAAAACCCAGACTTGAGTCAGGCCAAACCCTAAACCCTTAACCCCTAAACCCTAAACCCTAAACCCCTAAACCACTAAACCCTAAACCCCTAAACCCTAAACCCTAAACCCAGACTTGAGTCAGGCAGACGGCCGCACCGCTCTGATGTCGGCATCTCACGCAGGTCATGTCGACATCGTCCGATTGCTTCTGGAGTCCAGGGCAGACAAGGACTTGGTTGAACTTTACAGTCACTTTATAGCTTTATCACTTTTAGGATAAGCCTTATTTGATATTAGGGGTACTAAAAGTTATAATTTTAGCAAGGTGCTAAAGAGCAACCCAGAGGAGTTGGCAGACAGGACAGATGGCACAGCTTTGACCTTGGCTTCTGCTGCAGGTCATGCCGAAATCGTGAACTTGCTGCTGCAGGAGGGCGTCGACAAGGACGCTGCAGATTTCAACGGCCGCACCGCTCTGATGTTGGCGTCTGTCCGAGGTCATGTCGGAGTGGTGCAACTGCTCCTGCAGGCCGGCGCCGAGAAGGATCTGGGAGATGAATATGGTCAACGAGCTCTGATGGCAGCATCTTGGAACGGTCATGTCGACATCGCCCGACTGCTTCTAAAGTCAAGAGCAGATATGGAGCTCGCAGAACGCACAGGTAATACAGCTTTGACATTGGCATCTGGCGCAGGTCACGTCGATGTCGTGAGCTTGTTGCTGCAGGCCGGTATTAACAAGGATGCCGCCAGCAACCGCGGCAGCACCGCTCTGATTTCGGCATCTGAGGCTGGTCACGTCGAAGTGGTGCGATTGCTCCTGCTGGCCGGCGCCGATCAGAATTTGACAGATGACATGGGTCGCCGAGCTTTGACGCGAGCATCTTTGAACGGTCATGTCAACATCGTCCGACTGCTTCTCGAGTCCAGAGCGGACGCGAAGTTGGCAGACAACAGTGGCGGCACAGCATTGTCGTTGGCAGCTGGCGCAGGTCACGTCGATGTCGTGAGTATGCTGCTGGAGCTCGGAAAGGATGTAACTGACAAGCAACTCTACACCGCTCGGATGGTGGCATCTGGCGCTGGTCATGTCGAAGTCGTGCAATTGCTCCTGCAGACCGGAGCCGACCAGGATGTGGGAAATTAATTACGATGGTCACCGAGCGCCGACAGGGATGTAGCAAAAAGCCGCGGCCTCACAGCTTGGATTCCGTCACCGTGGATGACAGCATCTACAAAACGAGAATTCGCAAGAACATGCAAGAACGTCATTGTGCCATGAGGTATCTTGTCACAGCCGCGGGAGCAGATCTAATTGCACTTGCCAAGATCAGTTTCTGTATGTGGACCTACAGTCCCTGGCCCTACTGCCACAGCCTACCCAAGCACGAAGTAGTGGACCCTTCCCCACCTTTGTTGCACGGAGCGGCAAGACCCGAATAAATTCCTAGAGTACTAGAGACTGTTTCACGATCCCGAGTGTAGGTGTCATAAGATCTGATTTTTGTTGGTTTTCTGGGTTGAGGGTTCTTGTGCATGAAGCCCTACAGCCGAAAGCCTTAACCTAGTCTCGACACTTCAGGAGTTGCTAGCACTGTTCGTCAATAGTCCGTGTGCACCACATCATTCCCCGGAGATCTTCGATCAGTCTTAGTTCGTAGTAATCTAGTAGTACTCCTCAGGGATTGAATCGGGGTTTTAGGGTTTGGAGTTACACTCCAGGGATCTCTAGAAAAATCTCCAGCACCCTAGTCTACGTCTTGAGGTTCCTGTACTGACCTCAGCATCCTTCGACAGCATGCCCGAACCGGAGACTGCCCTAAACTTTGTGAGCTTCCAACCCTGACGACGAAGTCCCGGGCCAATCCCGGTAGACGAAACTCCCCTTGTGGAGCTCATGGGATGTAGGATCTGGGGTCAAGGGATTCTGACTATCGGGCGGATTTTGCGAACTGGCCCCCTGGTGGAGGAAGGCTCCTGAAGAAAACCGAGGGTCTGGAATGACTTCCTCATAGGAATTTTTATCGGGTTCTGCGTAAACCTAGACCCTAAACCCTGACCCGGACTGCCTAGGTAGACCCTGCAATAGACCCTACGAAACATAGAACCATCCTGGGTTGAGTGTGCGTAATACCACTGGTTGGGTAAGATTTCGAGGTTCAGCGGGTCTTTGTGGGGCTTCTGATTATTGGGGGCTTCTCATAGTACTACTGTTGATGATATATATATATATATATATGGTAGCCCCCCCCCCTGGACCAACCTCCGCCATGAAACGGATC